GTCCAAATTGGGAACCCGGAAGAGGTAAGGAGTTCGAAATGTAGCTTTGCGCCTCCAAATGGTGGGAACTTACTTTTAGTGTATATGATAAACGAGACGGACCCATACATACCCAAACATGGATTAATAGGTTATATACATGACTATGAGGAAAAAAAAGAGTGAAACGGTCTCAATCCAAGGGAGGAACATCAAATGGACCAACTTTGGGAACCGGAAGAGGTAAGGATCTGAAATGTAGCTTTGTCCTTCCTACTGGTGGAAACTTACTTTTAGTGTATATGAGGAACGAGACGGACCCATACTTACCCAATCATGGATTAATAGGTTCTACACATGACTATGACAAGAAACATGAGTGAAACGGTCTCAATCCAAGGGAGGAACATCAAATGGACCAAATTGGGGAACCGCAAGAGGTAAGGAGTCCGAAATGTAGCTTTGCGCCTCCAAATGGTGGGAACTTACTTTTAGTGTATATGATGAACGAGACGGACCCATAATTACCCAAACATGGATTAATAGGTTCTATACATGACTATGAGGACAAACATGAGTGAAACGGTCTCAATCCAAGGGAGGAACATCAAATGGACCAAATTTGGGAATCGGAAGAGGTAAGGAGTCTGAAATGTAGCTTTGTCCCTCCTAATGGTGGAAACTTACTTTTAGTGTATATGAGGACCGAGACGGACTCATACTTACCCAACCATGGATTAATAGGTTCTATACATGACTATGAGGAGAAACATGAGTGAAACGGTCTCAATCCAAGGGAGGAACATCAAATGGACCAACTTTGGGAAGCCAGAAGAGGTAAGGAGTCTGAAATGTAGCCTTGTCCTTCCTAATGGTGGAAACTTACTTTTAGTGTATATGAGGATCGAGTCGGACCCATACTTACCCAAACATGGATTAATAGGTTCTATACATGACTATGAGGAGAAACATTGAGTGAAACGGTCTCAATCCAAGGGAGGAACATCAAATGGTCCAAATTTGGGAACCGGAAGAGGTAAGGAGTCCGAAATGTACCTTTGTGCCTCCATTGTGGAAACTACTTTTAGTGTATATGATGAACGAGACGGACCAATACTTACCCAAACATGGATTAATAGGTTCTATACATGACTATGAGGAGAAACATGAGTGAAACGGTCTCAATCCAAGGGAGGAACATAAAATGGTCCAAATTTGGGAACCGAAAGAGGTAAGGATCTGAAATGTAGCTTTGTCCCTCCAAATGGTGGGAACTTACTTTTAGTGTATATGATGAACGAGACGGACCCATAATTACCCAAACATGGATTAATAGGTTCTATACATGACTATGAGGAGAAACAATGAGTGAAACGGTCTCAATCCAAGGAAGGAACTTCAAATGGACCAAATTTGGGAACCAGAAGAGGTAAGGAGTCCGAAATGTAGCTTTGCGCCTCCAAATGGTGGGAACTTACTTTTAGTGTATATGATGAACGAGACGGACCCATAATTACTCAAACATGGATTAATAGGTTCTATACATGACTATGAGGAGAAAACATGAGTGAAACGGTCTCAATCCAAGGGAGGAACATCAAATGGACCAAATTTGGGAACCAGAAGAGGTAAGGAGTCCGAAATGTAGCTTTGCGCCTCCAAAAGTTGGGAACTTACTTTTAGTGTATTGAAACGAGACGGACCCATACATACCCAAACATGGATTAATATGGTTCTATACATGACTATGAGAGAAAACATGAGTGAAACGTCTCAATCCAAGGGAGGAAATCAAATGGACCAAATTTTGGGAACCGGAAGAGGTAAGGAGTCGGAAATGTAGCTTTGTCCTTCCTATTGGTGGAAACTTACTTTTAGTGTATATGAGGAACGAGACGGACCCATACTTACCCAAACATGGATTAATAGGTTCTATACATGACTATGACAAGAAACATGAGTGAAACGGTCTCAATCCAAGGGAGGAACATCAAATGGACCAAATTTGGGAACCTCACAGCACAGGCCCGGCCCAACAAATTTTAAAGTTCTTAGACCAGAAATCAAATGACGTACACACAAAAACACGTAGACGTACGAATGAAGTATAGATTTTGAAAAATAGTTCATTTTGGTAAACCAAATTAGTCAAATATGTCCTCCGTGACGAAAACAAGTAAGAAAGCAATATATAAATTTGCTTCTAGAAACTGTGCATTGTGGAGAGGCAATAAATAAATTAGCTTCTAGAAAGTAGAAACTGTGGAGTGTGGAGGGATAGATGTACTGTGGACTATCTTACGATTTCACTAGAAAATTCGAAATTTTTGCTGTTCTTCTTTCTGAGCTTCTGGAACATTTCACCTTTGAATAATAGATATGACTAAAAGAAGAAATATCACACCAACAAGGTCCACAATAGATAATCGAGGTGAACAGTTTTTTTTTTTTTTTTTTTTTTTTAACCGTGGGTGATCCAAGGCTCAAGACTAATCTTACGAGGCTCACAGCAGTCCACATATTCTTACCATTTAAAGCAGCCCGGGTGGTCGGGACTCGGACTCGTGATAGCGGGCACCTCAGCTGAGACTCCATTACCACCATACCACGAGGACCCGGTTATCATGAATAGTTATTTTTAATTTTTCGACTTGTAATATATGGTTTTGTATTGGAAAATACTATTTAATAAAAAGATAATGGATGTGTCTAATTCTATTATATAATTGTTTAAGTAACTAATTGAACCAATTATATGCATGATCACTTTAATAACCAACCAAACCAAAAACCAACAATTTCTAACAAATAATTCAATGACTAAGTTTATTAATGGACCGTGTAACTAATGAATCGAACAGAAGAATACCTAGTTGACATTGATAAATTCTGAACGGTTTGCCATCTTCTACTCTTATTAATCCGACTGACAACACATCGTAGAAAATACCAAATACCTCTCTAGCTGGTGTTATTTTGTTTTTTTTGGATCGTAATAAAGAGAGCCTCCAGAAACCATTTTGTCTAAAAATAAAAATAAGTTATGTACAAAAAGGAGCTCATACTCGTTTTACAAATTATGTATTTTTAATTAGTCTATGGCAAATGGGTTGGACATTTTGACGGCAAACAAGTTTCAAAGCCTTTGACGTTTATCTTACATTCTTATCACAAATTACGCAAACTTAGTCAATGACTTAATGGAATCATCCCTAGCCGATCGATAGCTAACTAATCCTCCTATTATGTATAACCTAATTTCAAAGTCAAGGACTTTTATGTGACAAAAAACGACTAACATATTGACAAAAAATCAAAAATCTATTAGTTACAAAAATTCATGGTCCCTATTTGAGAATTTAAAGTATTTATATGTTTCAATAAATGGTCTAAAAGGGTTTAACACATCGTCCGTATTTAATTTATTCTGTTCATACGGAAGAAAAACTAATCCTCACACTTTTTTTGGTAATCATAATCCTAAAACTTTGACCACTACTTTGGGGAATATGGAAAGAAAAATTAACCAAAAGCCAACACGAGGATGTATGCTTTAGCAAAGTTTTATAAAGCTATCCTATTAGCTAGTTTAAACATAATCAGTTTAATTTAAAACAAATGTTCGGGAAAAATCAAACTACTAATACGGTTAAATATTATTGCAGAACATCGTTTCCAACTTTAGTGATGGTAAACTTATACTAGTTTAAGATAGAAAACTGATGATATATAGGACTCTGTTATTGCATGAATTCGATAGTTTCAACTTCAAAGTTTTATGAATCTCTTCATAGGATAGATATCAATTAAATTAAGAGTAGGAAATGTCAAAGCAAGTCGAAGTGTACTGTATATGTATAAGAGTAGGACCCCTGAAGTGTGATATGTCGGAAATCCACAGAAGGGGTTAAAATGTTTTCGCCGATTGCAACTAATCAGTTTCAGGTATAGTAGCTAGGTTCCCTGAATTCTATGGAAAATGAAATTAATTACAGGATTCACATGCATAGAGATACGTACTTGGTCTCTAGAAGAGACAGCAAATCGGAGATCTTGGTCTACTGGTTGTAAATCTTAATTAAATTATATTTTGATATCTAAAAGGTTGTTGTTTTACAAATTAATTACAAGAAGTTTCTCGTGTGATCACGCTGTGTAGGTCAATATTAGGTCAATTGGTAAGGCTGCTTCCTTGTTGAACTTGACATTATAATTAATTCTAAGATTCTGTACGTTGATATCAATAATGATGCACCTGGACAATTAATAACGAACTGGTTTTAAAGCATCCAAATGATTTGGTGCCATTTCAGTTTAATTAATATTGTGAAAAATTAAGAAGGATAGTAGTTACCTGGATCCAACCTCCTGAAAAGGACGAATCTCTATCGATGCTGGATTATGCATGAATTATGTATTCACAGATCTTTCAGCCGGAACAAGTTATCAATTTTTATCGTCATTATATATTAATAAGAAAAAAAAAATCTAATGGAAGTGTAGTTAGCTGTTAGCATTGTTTTTAGGTAGTTGTGGACAATTTCTGGATAAAAAACAACTTAACATTGTCACTAATTTGATGGTAATATTAGAAAGATTGTAAAATACAATTGATTAAGTATATCATAAAGTTTCTCCATATTTATCTACAAAATCATTGCTTTCACGATCTATATAGCCATCCAAACAATTACAACAATTCCAATCATATTTACATTAATTATTTTTAAAAACTATAGTATATCGGACAATTAATCATCGATGCTTAATTCTGTTTGTTTTATCCCGTCGACGTCGAGTTTCCCGTTTTCCGGGGGTTAACGAGACTTTTGTGAAAAAAAGACAAAAGCGAGCCAGAAAAAAAAAAACAATAAAATGAATGTAAAAATTATAGAAGAAGAAGAGCCTTCGTATTTTATATTTTTGGCGATATAAAAAGCCCAACTTCCTTTCTGTTGTCTCTTCACCTATAATTTATCTCTCTAAAAACATCAATTTCCGTATCATCTACAAGAAGCTCTATGCCCCAAGTCGATCTCGAAGCCTTTGTTTCTTCAGTATGCGCCGACCGGAAGATATCATGCGAGTCGACCCTCGCCGTCGCCGAAGACCCGGATACCCGACCATACTACTACAACAACAACTCTGTCGTGAGTCCGACTGATTATCCACCGGAATCTTATTCCTTGTCCAAAGATGCTCAGCTCGAGTGGCTCAGCGACAACGCATTCTTCGACCGTAAAGATTCTCAGAGAGGTCACTCCGCGAATCTCAACTCTAATCCCAACTCCAACCCGAGCTCTCAACGGTTCTTACTAAAATCCAAAGCGTCGATCATCGGTTTACCGAAGCCGCCGAAAACGTGTTTCAACGAGGCGAAGCAGCGGAGAAACTGCGGCAGAAACGACAAGAACCGGGTTATACTGAAACGGGTCGGATCACGAATGAAGTCGAATCCTAATTCGTTGCTCGAACCTTCTTCTCCTATAGTCTCTTGCATCGGGAGAGTAAGATCCAGAAGGGAACGTAGCCGCCGGATGCGCCGTCAAAAATCGGGTCGACCCGAGAAGGCGAACCGGGTCAAGAAACCCGGGTTTTTGGCGAGTTTCAGAGCCATCTTCAGGATCGGAGGCGGCTGCAAAAACGCGTCATCGTCGAGTGGGACACACACGTCGCCGAGTAGGACACAAGACATCAGGAGCCGGCTTCCAACGGAAAACGTTGAAGAGGTGGTGGTGGACCTGGTGGTGCCCGGTTTGGGAGATATGGCCCGGTTCGCTTCTGGAAGAAGAGCGTGATCTGTTCGGTGGATGATGACGTGGCGGGACAAGTGTAAATGTTTGTGGGGTCCAGCTATATAGTGTTTCAGGTCCCGGCGGGAAATAGTATAGAATTATTTGTGTGAATGGTGGTTTGTCTTGTCTGAGTTTTGGTGGGACCCTGTTTTGTAGCTGCTGTGTTTTTCGAAAAGTCGTTGGTACAACTGCTAACGTGGCACTTGATTAACGTTTTTCAGAAACTGGCAAAGCGAAGGCGGCGATTTTGCCCCACCTCACCGTTTTCTATATTGTTATGTATGGAGCCTCTTATTGCATTTAAATTAATATTTTTTCTTGTTTTCGTTGTAAATACTAAATACTAAATAGTTAAAGAAGTATATTTCTATTTATGCTTTATCAAGTTATCTAATTTTTGGTTCGGAAAGTAAAGAATAGTTGATGAGTCGTTAGATTATTGATTATTTTTTAAAGGCACATATATTGCTTGACTATGGACGTGATTATTGTCCGATTTACACTTTCACGGTAATGCAGGTTGAAAGAAACAGTCATTTTACTGTGATGTCAATCATGGTTTTTCAAATAGTTTGTAAGAAATGGTTCACAAACTTTGAATATTAATTCGAATTTCTGCATACAATTCAGCTTTGTAAAAAGAAAAAAAAAACTGGGGAGTAAGTTCTGGATAGTAATAA